GCAATTCTTATTAAGTTATAATAACATATTTCTAGGAATAAAAAAATAAAAGGAAAGGAAAAAAAAACAAAAGAAAGAAAGGAAAATAAGTGATTTAAGGAAATAATAGTAATGATGAGATTAACAGAAGGAAGTAAAAAAAATTAATAGCACTAATGATCATAGGAATTATATATGGTTATTTTTGATATTTTATAAAACTTTAATGTAAATTTTCCAGTCTTTAAAAATTAGGAAAAATGTAATTAAAGTAAAATAAATATCGATGCATAATTTTATTTTAACTTTATTATTATTATTATATATTATATAATAATGATAGTGTATAATATTATTCAAACAAAATTCAAAAAAAGGCAAAGCAAATTTTGTAAAATTACTTTTTGCAATTCTTATTAAGTTATAATAACATATTTCTAGGAATAAAAAATAAAAGGAAAGGAAAAAAAATAAAAGAAAGAAAGGAAAATAAGTGATTTAAGGAAATAATAGTAATGATGAGATTAACAGAAGGAAGTAAAAAAAATTAATAGCACTAATGATCATAGGAATTATATATGGTTATTTTTGATATTTTATAAATTTTTAGTGTAAATTTTTCAGTCTTTAAAAATTAGGAAAAGTGTAATTAAAATAAAATAAATATTGATGCATAAATTTTTTTGAAGAGTAACTTCATTTTTTAGCATTTATAATAATAAAAATGTGTAAAAAAATATCAAAAGAATTGATATAAATAAATAAATATCAATGCTAGACTAAGAAGGATGTTATCCCATTTTTTATTTTAGATATTATTACATATAAATATAAATCATAAGCAGGAGAAATGATCTAAAAGATATGACATATCAAATTCTCTCTCTATATATATATAATTCGTATAAAGTTATAATAACTAATTTCTTGAAATAAATATAGATTAAATTTTGTTTAGCAATTCTTATTAAGTTATAATAACATATTTTGAGGAATAAATAAATAAATAACAAAAAAATAGAAAAGAAAATAAAGTGATTTAAGGAAATAATATAAATGACATTAATAATGAGATTAAGGGATGAAAGTAAAAAAAGTTAATAGCACATTAATATTGTCCAAATTTTTCATATTCGTTATTGAAAATCAAAATTCATCCACATATTGATATATGAAATCACTGATATTCACTTTTAACTTCTTCATCTTTATGTAGTGTTTGAATTACATAATTTATTTAGTTTATATACAAAATTGATATTTGAGCTCTCTTGTGTATTTATTATTTCTAATTTTTAATGTAATTTTTTACGAAATATCAATTTGTATACCTTTCATATGAAAGTTTTGTGTTTTTCGTATGCCGGAGGGATATGAAAAAGATACTTTCAAAGTAATTCTACTATTTCGAATATTCCATAAGTTTTTAGATATTCGCGAAGAGATCATAAAAACATTAAATATTGTTTTTGAATGATCTCAAATATCTCATAAATTATTAGATATTTATAAAGATTAAAATCTCAAATATCCTATAACTTTTGAATATTTACAGAGAAATCATAAAAATATCAATATCGTCTTTCATAAAGAAATCTCGAATATTTCATAAATTCTTAGGATATTCATAAAAAGATCAAGAAGATCTAAAATCAAAGGATAAACAACTTTGTAACTATAATATTTATCAATTAAATTTTTATTTCTTCATAAATAAATATAAGAAAACAATCGTAATTGGGGTAAAAGGGCGATAACACTAAAAGTCTGACATGACACCTCTCTTTGGCCAGAATTGTCATTTAGCTATTTTGTCAATTTTTTGAATTTTCCCATAATTTATTCTTTAAAAAAAAACAAAAAAAATGTGCAGATTTAAATTTTCTCTTTTTCATTATTACTACACTATTTATATCTTCCTAAGATTCCTCCCTTTCCTTCTTTATTTTCCGTTTTTTTCTCACCAAAACAATTGTGCTTTTAATTCCCTCCTTTTCCTTCTTCATTTTACGTTTTTTTTCTTACCAAATTCAAGTTTTCAGAAAATACCTACTCGCTTACAATTTCTCTTTCCTCATTAATAATATACTATTTATATCTTTCCAAAATTCTTTCTTTTAACTTCTTTATTTAATTTTAAAAACATTTACAAATATAATTGTAATTAAACTATAACAAACGTAATTGTTATTTATATATGCATAAATAAATAAAATCGGATATAGGCCAAGTTATATTTATCTCTTTTTTCTCTTTTTTTTTTGTTTCTAATTTTTCACAATTAATTATTTTAAAAACTCTTAAACTATTATAAACGTAATTGTTATTTATATATACAAAAATAAATAAAATAAGATATAGACAAAGTTATATTTATCTCTTTTTTCTCTTCTTTTTATTTTTTTATTTTTTTCTATTTTTTCACAATTAATTTATTTTTAAAAAACTCATTTTTGTAACTCACACCTCTACATTTATAAATGATACTCTTTTAATTATATTAATAAAATACTCATAATTATCTAATCTTTCATATTTATTAATTTCATTATTTAATTTTGCATGTCTAAAATATGGGAGAAAAAATTATTTACTTATTTTATTTATAAAAATTTTAAAAAATATTTATTCAACTAAATCAACTTTTCACCTCCCACTATAATTGTCTTCTTTATTATAGATTTTAGTGTATATGCATGTATTCACCCCCCTTCAATTTTTATAATTCTTAATTAATTTTATTAATGTAGAGTAATAATATACTAAAAGATGGGAGATGAAAAGAGAAAATTTAACTTATATATATCTTTCACTACCAAACTATGCTATCAGACTATGTATATATGAATCAACCATTTTAGTTTAGTTGTTCAATCTTTTAAAATTAGGAAAAATGTCATTAAAATAGAATGAATATCGACGCATAATTATTTTTGGAAGAGTAACTTCATTTTTTGTGCAATTATTTTAATAAAAATGTATTTTAAATGTCAACATAATTGATATAAATAAATAAATATCAAATGCTAGACTAAGAATGATGTCATCACATTATTTAATTTTATATATATATATATATATAG